TCATGTCCTCCTTAGCTCACACTTTCTGTGAATTCTCACTTTCAGTACATTGTTTAACTGTCATCTGTTGTATCATTTCCACTGTTACTTTTTTTTGTTCAAAAATACGATTATTGTAAAATACAATCATTCTAATACAACCTCAAAAAATTATTTTTTTCCCATAGATGCTAGGATAGGATTGGGATGAAATTTTTCTACTGAAAACATTATTACATTTAAAATGCATCTGTGTTTTCTACAGAACACGCACTTTTCAGCTCTTAGCAGCAACACTGAACAGTACAGGCTAACACTCTGACATGATACACTAGAAATTTTCCTTAATTTCTTCAACTTCTACAGAAAGAAAGACTTTTCAGAGATGCACAAGAAATTCTCCTCCTCATAGCTTGTGCTCCTCCTGAGATGCAGGAGGTGAAAGTCTCCAGACTTGCTGTACAATTAAAACAACCTACTGTCTGCAGGCAGTGGGTTAAAAACAATGAAAAGAAAGTAAACAGGAACATAAAGATATAAATATATACAGAGTTTTTTTCTCCGTTTGACTTTTCCCTGAAATTCAGAACAAAATATTTACTAACGGCTCCATCCTGATGAATAAGCTGAAGAGGTTCAGCAGTACCACTCTTACGCATTTGCCGGTGACAGAAGATTGAATTGCAAGACAGGTTCAGACTCTAAAACTAGGTTTTAGTTGTATTGAAGTTGTACGGACCTGTGTTTCAGGATCTGGGACTTAGCAATCTCTGGCTGAGAATCAGAGTCTACACCCCAGAAATATTGGAAAATAAACTTAATTTAAGCAAATCTTAAGAAACTAGGAAAAAAAATCTGCAATCCATCAGTCAGAAATACATTAAATATCAGTCTGCATTTTATAATTGTTATACTCACATCAGATCTTTATGCAGTCATTGGGAGAATCCAGTTCATGTAGTTAAGATTTTCAAAGTTTTACAAAGTATCTCTATCCTATTTGCACAATAGCAGAAACCACCCAAGTCTCATGACCAGTGTGTATGTAACATGCACCAACAGCACAGCTTGTAGGCTGATCTTATTCACGCTTTATGTCACGAAACAACTGACTATTGAAAGGAAATCACCAAGTTTATTAGGATGTTGTTAGCAGTTCCAGTTTCATTTTGGTGTTTCATGCCAAATATGCTCTGAGCTCAGATCTCTGCATTGCTCAGAATGTGTATCAAAAAAAATTATACAAAGCATTCTGTAAAATTTATATGCTCAAATTCTGTTTTTAATTACACCCATAACTTTCTGCTGGGTCTATACCCGTTTAGAGAAGTATACAGCCTTGGCATTTGAACTTGCATTTACTGGGACTGTTCTGCATTCATGAAACTATCAAGTTACATTTTCTTAGTAGACTAATTTTACAAGAATTCCTCAAGTGATTACCTAACATTTGCAGCACACGCTTTGTGTTTTCATATATATTGATATTGTTACTAAAAAAAAAACAAACCAAACCAAAACAAGAGGATAATCAAACACTCCAGTGAACCTCCATTCTTACCTTACAAGTGTATCGACAGGACAAAGCCTGGGCATCTGGAATTAAGCTGGCACCACTTTGAGAGTAAGACTGGACTCAGTGACTGACAGATCTTCTTTCCAATATAAAAGTATTCTATTCTATTAAATGGCCTTATCAAGAGATGTATCTGTTCATTTTTCATCACTCTGTCTTTTAATTTGTGATGACATCATGGGTGGGAGACATAAAAGAAGATACCAAGTCTTCCTAGGTTTCTTGATGCATTGGTGCCACAAGTCAGACACACATACTCTTTTGTCTCCAGTTAGCTCCTTATCACTTTGGAGAATTGTGCTCTACCTCCACACTAATAATGACTGTGGCTTTAGGCCTGTGAATCCTTTTTCGTTTGGGATGATGTGTGATGATTGCCTGCCTCACAGTTCCAGACTGTGAAATCATGTCTGCTGCTGCCTAGCACAGAGCAATTCAACTCAACAAAACCACCTTTTTTTTCCTTAGTACACTTACCCTTGTAGCCCTGTCACAATAACTCCTCAGTAGTCTCATCTTTTCCCAAAAAAGCTCCAATGACCTCTTTGGCAGCTGTTTAAAGTCAAGGATTTGGATGACTGGACACTTGAAGAGGAGAGAAAAGCCCATAATGTTAGGGTTGAGATTGATCTATGATTTACAATTAAAATCAAGTTAGGCCTTACGATGGCCTAATACTTTCAGTAAAAGCAAAAGGGAAAAGATGGCAGAATACTGAGACCTGCTCTTTTTATAAGTATGTGAGAGCGGCGGAATTGAATCTTCCTAAGGCTCTTCTTCCTGGCTGATACTTGCCTGCCTATTGTTTCTCTTAACTCCATCTTCACCCTCCACCTTCTGCCAATTCTCAAAGGTCTTGTCTGTTTTGTGGACTTCTACAAGACAAATAGCCTATTCAGGGATAAGTATTTATGCAAACACACCTTTCAATTAATAACTTTCTTAAAAGTATTTATTAATAATAAAAATGAAGAAATAAAGCAGAAAAATACAAGATTTGCAGGTCATGCACACCCCTTGAGCATTCTGAGATAGTAAAGGCTCTCTACACAAAGAAGCTTTGTTTTGTTCCTTCTCTTCTAATTAGCCCTTTGCTTGCCTACTCTCTCCACAACTTCCTCACTTGTTTATAGAGGAATTTCTGCCTCCCCTGCATCTAAGTGTCTAGTTTTTCCGCAGTTACTGTGACTTTTTCTAGAAGGAAGACAAAAGTGTTCCTTGTTCTCTTCCCACCTGACAGAAAAGGAACCCCAAAGTTGTTTCACAATCACCATCATTGCCTTCTACTCATTCTGAGGCAATACAACAGGTTTTCCTCGTGAGTTCCCAGCTTGGGATAGGGAGAAAGCTCAGTGCAATTGCCCAAGAGTCAGTAACCTGCCTTGGGCACATCATGAACCCAGTAGTATCTCGCAGGGACTTGACCAGGATAATATTTGCAGGACCAGAGAAATAAAGAGGAAGACTTGGAATCAGAGGGAAGATGCTGTAAAACTAGAAGTCCTACTGCTAACATCTGCAAAAGTAAGAATTCTAGTGTTAATATCTCTGCTATTTTGCTGGTTAGCCCATTCTAATGATGCATAACTGGTATCTGTCCTTCGAGGATGTTAAGGTTAGTTTTTTGGCCAAAGGGAAAAGGGATGTACATCCTGCTGGTTCTGCTCCATGAGAAGCCCTGCAGGTCAATAGCAATGTTTCTATTTTTCTTATTATTAGTTCTTTAATGTAATTGTTATTAGCAAATGCATTCATATTCTACTAAATTAAGTGCCACATCACAAAACAGGCCACCAGACTGGTTCATTGTTACATTTTTCAAATGAACTCAAACACCTGCCCTGAACTTAAATACCAATAAGCCAATATAGATTTTGCATATGAACCAGGCTTTTATGAGCACTTTTGGAAATCTAATAATTCCTAAATATTAGGAAGAAAATGCAGCTTACTGAAGCTAAGCCTGGTCTAGCTTCCTGCTGGATTTTATTTTCCAGATATGCAAAAACAATGAAGTAGCACACAAACATTTTTAACTGAAGGAAAAAATACTATTACATATATAGTGCTTAACTACATTTTTATGTTACAATAGGAAGGATTTTCTCTCATCTAGTTCTCATGACATACATTTGTTGTACTTTCAATTAGGTGTATATTTTCCCTCTGTCATGAGTGGAAAATAACTGAGCTGAAACCACTCATGGCATCAGAGGATAAACATGTCTGCCCGTATTCATAAAAATGAAGCTGAAGGACTTGGTTTATCCTAGAAGCTTAATTTGGAAAGTTACTAAAATTATATTAGACAAGTTCTGGATCATATTTCAGAGAGGTACAAGGTACAGCTTATTTAGAGAGGACAGGTCTTTTCATCTTATCTGTTATTCACCACAAATCCTGCTTTTCTAGGGAAGTAACAAAATTTCACACTTCCTATCAACCACTCAGGAATTCACACACTGTGAGGGTGAGGGTTCAGCTACAGAATTTAAAACTTTATTTTTGTCCCCTCATTACCTTACTCATCTGATATACAGTGTTTTCAACAGTAACTTACCCTTTTTCCTGCTGGGAAAAGAGAAATGCCACAGTTCTTTTTGTTTGGTGGATTTTGATAAAGACATAAAATTCAGTTCCATGACACTAAGCATGCACTATCATCCTTGCAAAGGCTGATAATAACTAAAAGCAGCAGACTTTTCACTTCTACTTTATTATGCACACAGCTATTGCAGTCTCAAAGAGGAAGTAGAAAATTAAGGGATTAAGTTGACGGGAAGGGAAATCATTTATGTGGTGATGTGATTCTACATTTGAGGAGAGTCAGTGCTTTGTCTACAAATGGCCTTGATATTTCCAAAACCAATTTTGCACTCTGTGGGTAACTAAAGATTGACCTTCAGTGACACGCAGACTATGGCCTCAAAAAGTGTGCTGGGAAAAGGAGGGGATGTTTAATGGCAAGAATTTGTATCAGAATATGCAAGCTCTGCAATGAATTAAGGAAATCACTTTATAGTAACTGTTTTACTTAAGTGGGGTCTCCCAACTCCATTATGGTTACATGACACATTTTTCTACTGTACTATATATCCTATAAGTTGCTGAGATATACTAAACACAACCTTACATTAGCTAGATTGAATAGTGCCAGCAGTGAAACCTTGGGCTGAGGACTGCACAACAAACTTATTTTAAACAGAAAAATAAGAGCCAAGTCCAATGAGATTCCAGTTCTCCACCGTCTCTTCTTTGTGGGAGCCATTAGCGGGATGACATGGGTGTAGACACTCTTCTACACTCAGATCTTACATCTTTATTTTCCCAGAAAAAGTGCAAGTAGCGCTTACACTACTTACTGAGAAATCAAGGAGAGCAGGGAAAAACACAAGAAAAACAAAACTTTTTTTATTAAAAAAAATATAATTGTGAATATCATTGCAATAAATAATTTTCACCTCTGTATGATCCTCCCCAAAAAGCTATGTATCTAGCAAAATGTAACATAACAATAACTTAAGAAATGGCATCCAGGAGCATGTTTCCCCTGCATTTCTAAGGTAATCACACATATCACATATATCACGTGTATTTCATGTCCTAGAAGTAAGAAGGTTTTCTTTCTTCTTTTCCCAAGATGAAGAAAAAGACCTCCAAAACAAAAACTCTTCTTTCTGAATGTATAAATAGTTGCACTATCCCCAAATTGTAAATCAGGAGAGTAATGAGCAGTAACCAAGTAGTGCCAGCTATATCGCAAGGAATTTTAATTACCAAAACTCTTTTAAGAGAAAGAGATCAAAAAGTTCAGTATTATTTAATTTCTAAACCATAGTTGCCAAGAGGGTTACAGCATTTTTTTCAGGCTTAGCTGTGAGCATCTGGTATTTTAAAGACAGAAAACGCCCTGTATGTATGGTATCTTGTCTTGTTGTACCATTATCTTTTATAAGGATCAAAGTATTGAAAAAAATCTTCAAAAGCTGGAGAACAAAATCTCTGCAGGTAACTGAGAGCTCAGGTGAGGAAGGAAAAAAAAAAATTCTAGAAGATGACCTATCAAGAACTAACTATGAAATTCATGATAGTCATAGACCTAAAGTGCTTTACCTTAAAGACATTTTCAATGAAATGTGTCTTTGAAAGACACATTTCTCTTTGTGTCTCTTTGAAAGACACATTTGCCTAAACTTGTAAGGTGAAAACTTGGATATTTAAATAAATACCTCAGTATTTAGTCCCATATACAGAAGCCTGAATCCAAGGACTTTTTATGCTATAATTATCTTAACTTCATTGGATTTTTTCCCAAATTACAACAATTAGAAGACTGCCATCACACAATAAAAACAAAAAATTAATATCCCCTTCAATAGATAGAACACAGAATATCTGAGCTGTCAGATCTTCACCACAGAGGAAAGAATCTTCCCCTGCTTTCTCTATCTATGTCTTCTCAATCTGCATATCTGTAAAAGGAAGAATTATATTAAATAATTATCAAATTATCAAATTACTGAATGATGAAGTCACAAAACAATTCATGGGTTTGGGCCTCTTTCCTAGAGTTTGGAGGTACCAAAAAAAATGTCCTTCATTGTCCAAATTAAAGATCTAAATGAAATTAGTTAAAGGATTGAACAGAAGATGATCATGGGAGGAAAGGAAGTGGTAGTTCAAACACATTGGTGGGAAGTGCTCTTTAGCAAATACAGTGACATTTCTATTGCTTAGGTTCACTTTTCTTTTAAAAGCTTTTTAAATTCTTTCAAACACATTCAGTGTTTGATCTGTCAGTATCAGTATCAGCATATACTCTGACTCTTTAACTTGGAGATCTATACCTGCAGGACCAGCAGGCTTATCTGTAAGTTTACTGCAGTGAAGTGTTGCAGGGAACGATTTGGGATGTAATTAGTGCAAATGCTCTAGAAGTCAGCAAGAACACGAAAGAAAAACCTCAATAATTTCACCCTTCTGTTCCATGCCACAGCATGTTTCAGAGATTTCAGAAATTTGGTCATACATTTTCTTGTTTTGCCAAGACAGGATCTCACAGCTTGAGACTTGCTCAAGTGGCTGTGATGGGTTACTGCCTCCTTCCCCACTGTGTGTGAGCAACTGTTTCTATAGCAAAAGTGTGAACTAGAAAAATAGACTGATTTTGGTTATAACTCCACATCACATTTTCCTTTGTATGTCTTTTCTGTTTTAAAAACCAGATTATTTGATGTAACAAACAGTACACACTGAGTTATGACGATGAGTTTGTAAGACAGAGAATGGGAGGTTGTATTTGTCTTGAAGGCTCTGTCTTTTGAAACAAGGGGATAAATAAACCAGCCATGAGTCAAGGCTCTGATGACCACGGATGATTTATGCTGTGTATAATTTGCTATTTTTTCCCTTTGTCATTTATACTTACATTTCAGCTGTCTTCAAAAGAAGTGTCTCTGCCATCACATGTATCCTTATCTTTTGATAGCACTTTAAGCAAACAACATAAAACAAATAACAGTGAGCACAGCTTAAACTTTTCAGATAGTGATAAATCTTTGCTAAAAACTGCCATTGCAGGTTGCCCAGTGACTAAGTGACTTAAATGCAGAGCAGGAGAACCAATTAACACCAAATGCTGTGTCCATTTGGGCAAGTATTCTCAGGATAGGTTTTCTTAGGAAAAACCCAAACTGCCAGTATGAACTAATTTTCACACAGCAGTCTAATCTGAGGTGGTGTCCAAATAAAAGCATACAACAAATTAAAAATAAATCAACCAACAGCCATCATGAGAGACAACAAAATTATTTTAATCTCTTCTTTCCCTTTTAATCTCTTCTCTCCCACTGTAACCTCTTCACTCTTTCCTTCCTTTTTCACTGTCATAGTGCTACTGGCATTTCACTGAGCTTCACTCATAAATAGCACCAGTATCTCAACATGAGGAAAAAAAAACTGTTAGGGAAGCTAAAGCTTATTCTTGTGTTTCTCTCAACAGGGCCAAACCCTCTGTCATGAATATTGTGACAAAGACCCTCCAATGCACACTGTAATACTGGAGAAAACACAGGACCATGCCAATATGGTTCAAATTGCAGACAGAGTTTGCACACCAGGATGTGGTGCCATCCTGAGGTATAAGTTCCAGGGAGCATGTCCCATCCTATTGCAGACTTTCCAAAACACAGCATACCGTTCTGTCCTTTTCTTGTGCATATAAAGAGTGCATCTGCTTCTGGAATAAGTACGCTTTTTTTTCATATTTTCCTTTCAAGAAGCTAACATAGTAATAAAAAACCTGTCTTCAATTGTAATTTATCATTGTTACATAAATAGTATAAAAGCAAAATCAAAGTTGAATTTAAATCCCCATATGGTTGTCACCATTACAAAGTAAATTCTCAAGCAATTATTTCCACAAGAATCACACTGAGATTTATGCCATATATACATACTTTTTATTGATGAACTCGACACAGGTGTTCTATTGTCCTTATTTGCTCTAGCTGAAAGAAAATAGAAGAGAAAAAAATTCAAAAAGAAAACAAAATACTTACTTTAGATCTAATGGGGAGCTTAAGCACACTGTTGGGAGAGGCACATTTAATGTAATCTTTGTTTCTCAGAATACGAAATTTCTTCAAAGACTTGAAAATAAATTCTTCAGTGGCCCCAGTCTGTCCATTTCCTTTCCAACTTCCTTTCCTTGTTCCTAAGTCAGAACTCCGTTCAATCTATACACTTACATCACTGGAAAATACTTGTTCAAAGGGTTTTCCAATGTGTATTTTCACCCATAATTTTAACATATCAGACAACATGGAACAAAAAGAGGATCACCTTCTCAGAGCTTTTTTGGGGGAAAAAAGCCCATATTCCATTTCTTTTCTGAAAGAATCAATTATCTGGTCATCTGGGACAGCTTGGATTTTAAAACAAAAACCTGCTGGTACTGCTTTAGTTTCTGAATCAACTTGTAGTTTATCACACACACACACATGCATTATATCTAGATATACACATATAACATAATCATGACAATCATATACATGTATCACATATACACCCAATAATAAATATTAGTCAGGCAGCATGGAAAACTTCTGACTTTCACTGAAATCCCCAGTGGGAACCTTTTGAGAAGTCAAGGATTTTGCTATCCCTTCTTCCTCTTTCATGTTCTGCTCCTATTAACATCATGTTCTTAGGACAAGTATATTCTTATACATGCAGCGTTATCTACAGGCCTTCTGCAGTCTGTTAGTATCACCTGCAAGCCTATTAAACTTATGAACACTTCTCCCATGATATGTTTCCATAGCATCCCCACCAAAAAAAAAAAAAAAAAAAGTAACAATACTTTTTTCAGGGTAAGCAACAAGTTTCAAACATTTATTTTGTTTATTTTGGGGGCTAACCATATTCTTTTCACACTCAGATACTCTAAAACAGATTTATACAAGTTTTGTCTTTGGTTATCTCAGAAGGAAAACCAAATTATTGCCAAGGCTTTAGTTTTTCAACATACTGTGATGCTGAAAATGTCCTATTCAAGGTAGTGAAGTGAACTGAAGAAACTGAAAACCTAGCAAGGGAATTAATCAAGTGACACGAAGCCTGAGATGGAATATTCCCTCTTGTGAAAAAAATCTTTCATACTTAACACCTTGGACATATAGCTTCCTATGCTGTCCACAGTTTTTACAGTATTTTGACCAGAATAAATATATATATGTAGAATTCATAACAATTGGATCACTTTAAAAAACACTCAGTCAGAGTTCAGTGAAATTTTTCAGAGAATGCAAGGGAAAAAAACCCTAAAAAACCTTCAGTACCCTGCCTGCTGATAGTATTCTGGTCCCCTGTCAAAAGGGAGGACATTGAATAGGAAACTTCCATTTTCAGTAGGTGAATAAACTGCACTTTGAAGTTTGAATAGATTATACACTAAACTTACTGCTGTATATCGTTATCTATAACAAAAATTAACAGACATGCAAGGGCACGCGATTTGTGAAGGGCTAATAACTTGTTCCACTCTATTAACTTGCTAATATTTAACTAAATCCAATTAAAAAAAAAGAAATAGTTTATGTGCTAAAAAATTTAGTTATTTCTGGACAAAAGATCTAAGGCAGACTTTTATTCTCTCATTCCACCTCAGTGAGGATGAATTAACAGAACAGATTAATAATAACTGAATGTTCTAAAATAAATAACTTAAATACCTTTTCTTATGCAGAGCATAAATAGAAGCCCTGATCCAACAAAAGCAGTAACAATGAGAGTTGCTCCAACAAAGCGTCTATTCTCAGTCCACAGATTGCCATCAGCTGAATCTTCAAGAAAAAGAAGTGGGGAGTAAGACATTACATAATTGCATGAGCTCCTCTCTTTCTCTTTCATTTTCACCATATTAATTTTGCTATGAGCAGTTCAGACATGATAACAGCATTATAGATTGTGTCTATGGTCAGGTGCTCATGATGCACTTAAACATACTTTGTTCAAATAAAGGAAAAAAAAAAGATGGAATATGATAGAATTAACAGGGTTGGAAGAGACCTCCGAGATCATCAAGTCCAACCCTTGATCCAACCCTACTGTGATATCTAGATCATAGCACTGAGTGCCACATCCAGCCTCACCTTAAAACCTCCAGGGATGGTGAATCCACCACCTCTCTGGGCAGGCCATTCCAATGCCTCATCACTCTCTCTGTAAAGAACTTCTTTCTAATATCCAACCAAAACCTCCCCTGACAGAGCTTAAGCCTGTGCCCTGTTGTCTTACCGGTGATTGCCTGGGAGAAGAGAGCGACCCCCACCTGGCTGCAACCTCCTTTCAGATAGTTGTAGAGAGTGATGTTAATATTTGTCTTTGTTCCTTGCATTCCATGTGGTAGTGCCTTTGATTCTCATCACACATCCTGCTTGTCACCAAGGATGTGTTATATCTAGTTTGGTTTCCCATCAGGACTAAAGGAAAAAGCTAATTGAGAAAGAGAACAGGAAGTCCCTTTCATCTGGTAAAGCTCTGAATGCAAAGTATAAGTGGTCTCCTTGAATCCCAGAGGCTTTTTTTGTTAAAAACAAACTTGCCTACTGAAAGGATGACCTGGCTTTCTCACTCTCGCCTGCCTGTTGTCAACCCTTGTCGAGCCCAAAAAGCGTGCCAGAACAGGTGTTTTTAGAAATAGGTGATGAACAGCACCAGGGAAACAACCTGACCAAGTAACAGTCTGATGAATAGAAGTATTGTTGTTTGAATCTCCAATCTGGTTGAAAGTATATCAGGCTACAATGCAGAAAAGAATAATCAAAAGCAAAAGCAGTAGGGGTGCAGCCCAGGTAAAAGGTCTAATGAGAATCTGTATTACTCTTCTTCATTCATGCATTTTCCTTCAGTCTAGACTTTATGAGGAAAAAGAACCTGTGTGCAATTAGTTAAATTTAAATATGCTCAAGGCAAAGGTTGTAATGGCAAGCAAAGACCATACGTTTCTAATTTATTTGACATTAATCGTCAACAAAATAGAATATTTTTGGAAGATGCGTTTAATTTATATGAGAAAGTTTTATTTTCAGTCTCTGAGCTAAATGTCTTTCAAATAATGAAGCTTTTTTAATATTTAGACTTAATTTGCATATAACTTCAGGTCATGCAAAATTCCTGCCCTTGAATTCTGACCCTACATTCATTATGAACATGTCAGTATGATGGAAGTGTATATTAATAACAAAACAACACAGGTATTTCTTTTTAGACTTCTCAAAATTAGCAAAGAGAAACAAATCATGGTTGATTCAAGTGGGACAAAATTGCATAGCACCTTGAAGTGTATTACCATAAATGAAATTTAGAAATGTTACCTGCTATGTGTAAAGTGGCAGATGTATTTTCTTGCAGCTCTTTATTCCAGAATATACAGTAAAATATCTCATCAACTCTACTTTTGATTGAAAGGGTACTTGTCACACAATACAACTGATCCCTTCCAGTTTCGTAACTTGTGTTTGCCTTGTCAGTCAGATCTTCATGGTCTCCATTTTGCCATATCACTTCAGCTTCTGGGTATCCTTCAGACTGACATGTCAACTTCCATTCGTTGTGTCCTGTGCTCACCACTCTTTGGGTTATAGTTCTGTAAGGAGCTAAACAGATGGAAGAAAATGATTATTGGTAGGAAGCTAGAAGAACAGCATATATTAAATGCAACACACCTTTTCTTTATCCCCATCCCCCAGGGTCAAGTTTCAGCTTGGCTTTGTCAAATAATACCCTTGACAGGAAAAGTAAATATCACTACAGTGTCTGTGCACTAGCTTTAAGGTCTTTGTACTGTCTAATAGATTTTGCAACACCATTCCTCACTGGGGAAATAAAGGACAGAACGTGGATTCAACCTAAACAGAAACACTAATTTATACAGCTGCACAAGCACTATTAGGCAGCTCCTGTCTCTGGAGAGGTTTATTTAACTACTAATCCAGATGTGTCTTACTTCAGGGTCTCCTCTGAAATCTTTTAGCAGAATTAGACAGTAGTGAACCTCTCTGGTAGTAGCACACTCACCCTTAACTTTCAGGTGGATTGTCTTGTAGTCAGCTCCCCTATAGCCAATAATACAGTGGTAAATGCCTGCATCTCTGAGCTTCACATCAGTGATCTGAAGGAGAGACTGTCCCAAGTTCAGATTCTCTTTCAGCAATTTTATTCTTCCCTTAAAGTCACTGTGCTGACTTTTGAAGTCTTCCTCTCCTTTGAGAAGTACATAAACCAGCTTCTTTAACTCATCTTTCTTTTCCCAGCTGACACTTAACTCTCCGAACTTTAATTTCCCATTCACTGGAAATGTGCATTCCATGGTCACATTGTCCCCATATTCTACAGTGTAGAGTGACTGAGGAGCTTCAACAGTGAATAAAGCTGAAAAATAAAATTTGGAAGAAAACTTAGTTTTCCAATAATAAGCCTAATCTTTGAAGTCACGTCTTACCATATCCATGGGAAATTTTAAGGACCAAAGTTATTTGCTCTGTTCTGAAAAGTTGAACACTTTGGCATGCACTTGTATAAGTCTGGGACAAACTGGGCTACTTACACCTCCAGACACCTGCTTTGTGCATACACATAGTGTGATGCTTTACTAAAAATAGTTGACTGTGTGTGTAGAGTCCCTCAGGTGTTGTTTTCAGAACAGTGCCATTGCAACAGGCAACCGTTAGTGCCTAGGAATGTTATACATAAATGTTTTTGATTCTACACACAGTGCTAAAGAATGGTGCCAACGAAACCTTTTGTGTAATGCAAAAGGTGCCTTGTCTGAAATGGTGTCTATGTTGGATCACTGACATAGATTTCAACCTGGCCCCATATGAAAATGCATATATCTAGTTTAATGTAAAAGCATGCTGAGATCTTTTTATGTAAAACATTAAGGAAGAAAAGCCAAATGGTAGCACCTGAAGGAATACTGAGGAATTAGCATTTCTGTGCTTATATGTGGAAAGAAAACATACTCAAACAGTTCTACAACTTGGCTTCTTACCATTGAGGAAATTCCAGTAGAATAAAACTATATACAAAAGCAAAGGCCATTCCATGATGTAGACGGAATCTAAAATGAAAAAATAATAGACATGGACAAATATAAATACCTACTAATTTTCTAATTTGAACTGTAAAATACACTTTATAGTCAGTCTACACAGGGAACTGGGCAGAAGGCACTGAATTCCACTGTAGTTGAAAACAGGACAAAATTGCACCCAGTAGATAAAAAAGGCAGAAAGCTTCCTGCATGGGTCCAAAATCCATGCAAAAACCAACTTATTTATTTGCTTTAAACATCTCTCCTTCAATATGTCAAAATATATGCTTTATCAGTTAAACATAGGTTTTATTCACATTATAAAGTATTTATTAATGTCAATTCATACACCTAACCTTCACAAACCCACTGATTTTGGTGTGTATTTTAAGTCAGAACAATACTAGTATCCAGCACTGCCATAATTTTTCAAATTACTGCCAAGAAAAATTCAAACTCACTTTAAATCTTTCATGAATATAGAAAACTGTAGGATTTTATCTAAATAAAGTCCTAATTTTGGATACCCAAACAGTTACAAAAATAAGGAAAGATTGGCTTCAACTGTTTTCTAGTGGTAGCTTCAGAATTTGCATAGGAAATTAGACAATTGCAATGACCATGACATTTCCTAACCCATGAATTCTATCTGGACCACAACTCAGCCATAACCATATTTGATAAGATAGTTGATCTTCTTTCTCTGATTGTTAACTTTAAGATGATAATAAAGCGACAATATTGTCCTGAATCATAAGACACCTGTGCCTTTACAGTGTCATGGCTTAAAGGAATTGGACACCTCATAAGAATTTGATTCAAGCTACTTCTTTTCCTCTCATTGCCGCTCTCTGATGCCAATAGCTAGTTTACAGAAGGCAAAACATAAGGAGCTGAGAAAGGGATTCTATCTAACACATTGTTAGGCAGACATGAGCAATTACAAAAGCATGTAATAAAGGAAAAAGACAAAGATTCTCAGGGTGAAAGATCCAACTTATTGATAAATCTTAGGCTTTTTAGTGTGATTAGTTACCAAATTAATTCCTAAACCATAATTTACGAATTAGTGCTTGAAAGCACTAGCAAATTGCTCCCTAATTCTATGGGTTCCCAAGAGTTTCTGGTGATGTGTTTACACTGGGATTCCTCTATCATGATGCCACCGCTTGAGTAACAAGCACTCCAGACCACCAGCTAAGCTCCGAAGTAAAGCTTCACACACAAGATAGAGGCATACTGATCTCACAGGTGTCCCATGATCACACTTACTCTGGAGACAAACCTGCAGAAGAGCAAGTCACTGGTACTGGGTATTGGTATGCACTCCCCATGTTGGAATGACCAGAGCTGTAGCACACTCAGACCCAAAATACTTTCTACTTCTTATTTTTTTTAAGTAGAGGCTGTAGACTGCAAAGAACAAAGCAGACTATTCAAAACAGCAGACTGCTCGGAATAAATATCATGGGCACTACACGCACAATTCCCATACCCATGCATGCAACCTAAATCCACCCTTTTGTCAGGAAATCTACATGGTGGCATAAACTCCAGAAGAGGTGTTTTGATTAACTCCTAGAAGACATATGACAGGTTAGCTTTTATGGCTCTCAGACCCATGTTTATGTCCTGCAATTGCTGAAATTTAATTATTGTGCTTTCTTTCATTGCAGAGGAAAATAAGCCTTACAAGACAAAAAAGAAGTATGACTATTACTTACAAATTTCCTCAAGACTGAGAAAGTCTGCTGCTGTACTCAATTTTTCACTTTCAGAGAGAAAAAAAGTAGGTCCAGGTAAAATCCAAATGCGCATAAAAAAAATCCACTGCAATAACCATTACAGAACCTTCTCCTGTTTCATGCTGAGGCAAGAAGGATCCTCTGTTTGGATGGGTTGAAGCAGTTTGAAACCTTGATGCCAATCAAAGCTCTTTACCAAATCTATCCGCTTGCTATTTTTCTTACAGGACCTACCACAATGCCCCTTCTTTCCTCCTGGAACTTCTGACAATTATGGCAAATAGTTTGATAAAAGCAAAATGTATTCACTGTGCAAAATGCTCCTCAGTATTGCTACTGCACGTTTCCTTCACAATCAAATGAAGAAGAGAGGAAAAACAGAACTACTAGTCAAAAGACTTCATGTGAGAGAACTTAAATATTGATGTAACTCCACCTACTTCTTTAAGAAACTTCCCCATTATTGGAAAATTCCCCACTAGGGAAAATTCTGTATTGCTCACAGTGATTCACTGTAACCAGAGACAGTAATGTTGGGAAAATTAGTACCTAAAATACAGTAGTAATCTCAGGCAGTGGCAAACAGCTGCTAACAATGACTAGACATTTCTACACAACTTACTTACATCTTTAAAGGTCATAGCAATAAGAATAATGTAGGAATAACAGGAATATTGGGAAGAGCATTTGCTTACTCTCCTCTGGTAAGGACAGATACTCTCTCCCCAGGATTTGAGCACAGTGAAGGCCCCTTGCCTTGCTACTGTGTAGTGAAAGCAAAGTTGTTAAGCCTATGCACCAGCTTAGCAAAAAGCAGGGAGCACTGCCTTTTTAATTTTCTTGATTCTAGAAGTCTTTTGAGAATAAAGAAAAAACCCCAGGTATTAGAAGCCAAAGGAGGTACTCACATTAACTTGTGGACCGCAGTGGGAGAACCAGGTGCACAAAATACAACTTCAAACTTATGCTTCGGTGTAAGCTCACTCACTTAGATTCTCCTTGCATATCACAAAAAAGGGTCGAGGTTCTCCACTTGACAACCCACTCAGAGTATCTGTCATGGAAGCAAAAATACGTAATACACAAAACTGGTTAACCTTTTTACTTGATGTGTGAGATGAACATGGAAACAGTGGTATATAAAATAGTTCAATGCAACACTTAGGTTCTCACAACCTGAAACTACCCTCAGGAGGTTGAGGGGGTGGATTTTCGCACTAGGTGAGACTGATGAATATTAATTTCCACTGATTTTTTGAGTGTGAGCTTTAAAATAGGTTTAATGATATTGTCTCAGAAAAAAAAAATGCAACAAAGAGACACTGAAACATTTGTAAAACACTGTGAGACAACAGAAGCTCCTAATGTAGCTACCTCAGTGTCGGGGATTTGGTTTCTACTTTACCTTTGCTTACCTTTTTCCACTTAAGTGTTTAGTAGCAAATAAAAGACCAGGACAGATGGGGTTTCTGTTTGGTTTTTGTTTGTTTGTTTAATTTTGCTTCATACACACGCACTCTCATATACGTACACACATACGCCTACATGCACACAAACACATTTTACAGCACCGTTCTGTTCTGCGGCTGCTGAAATTTGTTTGGGATTGTTTGTTGTTTTTTTTTTTTACCTGTTTTGCAACAAGTTTCCCAGACAGCTATCCCGGTCCTGCCTGTCACCGGGCATCCTCAAGCAAAGCAAATGCTCTCATGGAGAACGTGCGGGAGAAGGATCCGGCGGCCTTGCACGCCTCCCTGGGGAATTAGCTCCGTGCAGCACCGGGATGGAGCTCCCACTGCCGACAGCCCCGCGCTCGGGGGCTCCTCGCTGCCTGGAGGGTCCTCCCCGCCTGGCGGCTCCTCCTGTGTAGCAGCTCCCTCGGCCCGGCCTCTAGCTGGACTGCCTGTGTCACACCCCGGCCCCGAGCCGGGTCTTCCCTGCCCGCCCCCGGTGCGGGATCGCCGGCGGTGGCAGCGCCGGGAACTCCTCCCGGCTGCGGCCCCTTCGCGGAAAGCCGCCCCGGAAAGCCCCGGTGCCCAGCTCCTGAACCTCGCTTCAGCCGGGGCGGGACACGGAGTGAGGGCCATTTGTCCATTCCTGAGGGACGGGCGTTGTAGGAAATGAAACCAAAAGCAGCACCTACGCCGCCTCCCGGCTTGTTCTCTTCGCTTATCGGAAGGAGACGTACTGGGAGCGAACAGCACGGGTCGTCGGTCAGGCATCTGGCTGCGTGCTTTTGGTTTTTCTTTCTTTCTTTTTAACATGGTGAAATCATATTCTTCACTTCCCAGAAAGATGACTTGCTACTTAGGTAGCGGATGTGTCAAAGGGCTGGGAATGTGGCTGACGACACAGCATCCCGGAGTCCGGGAGCTACATCCTGTTTCTCCAGAGACAAAGCAGCAATTCAACTTTATTTAAATAACTCTGTTCCACTCCACTTAAAGATCCTGCTGGGAGATAAAACTCCAGTTTAATAACCTGATAATACAATCTGGGAATATGGTGTGGTGTAGGGTTTCTTTTCTGAGGTAATACTTCTTATGTTATAAGCCTAATAAGATCTCTATCATAACTTTAAGAAAGCAACCCTGAAATAAGAATATTAGTCAGGACATTACCAGAGAACCAAGGAGCCACTGTGAGAAGTTTACTCGTGAGTATATTTACAGGGTGGAATATAAAGCAAATACAAATTTGTAACCCATGGCAGCATGCAGGTGGCAGATACGTGTACTGAAGGATGGTAAGGACATCTGAACCCTTGCATTTCCCTGTCTTAAGTATCAGGAAGGACATTCAAACTCCCCTGGTCTCTATGCCCTAAGTATGAGGTACTGCTGCCTGCAATATGTAATTAATGGTTTTGTGGGCCATAAGTGAACTGGTGGTTGAGAAGACACTGGAATCCCTACCTTGAAACCATCAGGTTTTTTGTTGATATGGACAATGCTGTCAAGATGTTTGACAAAGATAGGTTTGATTGGGTTCAAATCTTCCAAATCATGTAATATGAGCCCCTCAGAGAGAAGGATGTGGAATGTTAGGTAATGCAGTACAAGCTCCTCTGAGCCACCCCCCAAAGACCCTCCCCGATAGAGACAATGGGGTCCTGTTGTCCCAGCTGCTTCCACAGGGGATATCAGCACAACAGAGACCCATCTCCACAAGTGCAGAGAAGCACAGAGACCTCAAGGCAGGTGGGAACCCAAAGAAAGGACTCAGAGGAAGTTCATATTTTAATAAGCTTCAAATTGTTGAGCAATAAACATGACATTTATAAATGGCAAATTTACTTATAAAGTTAGTTATAATACATAAAGTTACAAAAGTCACAAAACCAGATAAAACAGTCACAAACCAGATGAGAAGTCTCTTTCCAGTAATAAGAAAAAAATTACTACAAAAACATTCCCGGAATGAAGAGGAAGCTTCTAGTTTATGATAAATGCCTTAGTTAAGAAGATTAGATAACACGGGGACTTATCCTGTAGCAAACAAAAAATGCTGTGTCAAAGCTAAAGGTTTAACTTTGCCCTGTGTAGGTGCTTGGATTTTCAAAGTTGTCTAAATATATTCACACATTTCCTATTTTCAGAAGTCAAATAGTAAAACAAACCACAAAAATCTTCAAGGAACAAATCACCTTTTTTTTTTTTTTTTTTTTTTAATTAACATAAGGTATTAGATTTGGTTTGTTTTGCTGAACACTTACTCCTAAAATAAAAGTTATCTTCACATGTTAAAAAATAATTATCATGGGGTTAAAAATGGCTTACAGTCATTTGTGTTTACAGTCCATAGACTTCTAGCATACTCCAGTGAAAATGCTATGGTAAAACAAGGAAATTGGCTTGCTAAATACTATGAGTTTAGAGCACTGATCTTCATTTCTTTCAAACTACTTCACTATTTTGATTGTTAGATTTTGGAATTTAATTTTGTAGATAATGTTTTCAGTTCAGTGGAATCAATCAGTCAAACTGATACAGATGTAACCTGTTTTTCGTATTCTAATTCTACAGGCTGTCTCTAGCATGATATGCTTTCTTCTTAATATGGATTATGAAACTGAAGTGGATAATGAATTGGTTTATACCTAAATCATTATGGTAAAATTCAAACTGATGCATCCAAGTGTACTACATACAAAGATAAGAGGAAGAATGCTTGCTTTCTTTCAAACATTTCTTCTGGTTCTTATTCTGTGTTCCTTTTTCAGAATGTAAAAATCACATTTAACTTATCCAATAAACACCTGCATTGGCACAAATTATAATTATTTCCATTTTTAGTTTACTCAACTTATTTGCTTTAGTGCCACATCTAAAATTTCCAAGACCTAATTATTTCTGGACCAACTTCTTGTGGAGAAAATACATCTTATAATTTAAGTATTTTTTAAAAGATGACAAGAACAAAGGAGACACAACTACCTGGCTGATGGCTGCCAGCTTGGCACTAGTGTAAAATATCTTTATGACTGCACATGGGTCTTCTGTAATGGCACCACTACCTACAGCTTTCTGAAGTAATAAAATACTGCTTGCCTTCAGAAATGCCAGCAATTTAACAGCACCATGTGCACAGCAATATGTGATGCTGTCTGATTTTTTTCTGTTGTCTCCATACCTGACCATCTCCTGACCAACTCGGAACTGGAATAGGACAGGCAATGTTCCCCAGTGTGGTGCTATGAGTATTGAAAACTTAAGTGAAACCAGTAACTCAGATCATGTCTGGAGCAGCAAGTGGGTTTCAGCAAGGAGAGACAAGACCTCCAGCCCCTGTTGCAAACAGGTTCCTCCCCAGTGTCTGTAGTCTGGTGTGGCTCAAACCTGTCTCCCCTCTACGTGCCTAAACCACAGTAGTTTCTTATGCCCTATTGAAACTACTCTCCATTCTCCTATGCTGCTTCTTAAATCCTTAATCCTTTCTCAAGAAACTAGTCCCATTTCCCGAGCAATCAGCCACAGTTCCTGCCCCATCATCACAGAATCACAGAATATACCAAGTTGGAAGCGACTCAAAAGGATCATCAAGTCCAACTCCTAGCACTACACCCATCCCCAGGAATCATATCCAAATGCTTCTCAAACTCTGCCAGGCTTGGTGCTGTGAACACTTCCCTGATGAGCCTGTTCCCGTGCCCAACCACCCTCTGGGGAAAGAACCTTTTACTAATATCCAACCTAAACCTCCCCTGTCACAACTTCAGCCTGTTTCCTTGGGTCCTGTCACTGGTCACCACAGAGAAGAGATCACTGCCTGCCTCTTCTCTTCCTCTCACAAGGAAGTTGCAGATGGCCACAAGGTCTTCCCTCAGTCTCCTCCAGGCTGAACAGACCAAGTGACCTCATTATATTAACCCCTCCACAGAAACCAGACCTCTGCAATAGAGAGATCTACCAGAGCTTCAATACAGAGGTCTACTGCACTCTGAAACACCCTTCTGCTCAAGAAACTTGGACAGACCCAAATGGTTTTCTTGGCAGCAAGGGACTCAGTGTGTAGAGGTGGATGGTAACTTTGGTAACCTGCTTTGAAGGAAAATTTAATTCTCAAAGATTTATCAGGGAGAGACCCATAAATCACAGTTTTCTCTGATGAAGTCTAATTGTAAATGTGTGGGGCAATAAAAAGGGTTTTTTCAAATATATTAATGGCAACAGGCATCATAGAAATATCATTGGCTCATTACAAGATGAAGATGGTCACCTCACAAACAAGGACAGAGATAAGAGAGAGGTGTTTCACACTCTCTTTGCCTCAATCTTCAACATGGATGATGGACCAAGGGATCTCATTGCCCTGAGCTGGAGGACCATGACTGTGAGAACAACCAACTCCCAGTCGACCCTGAAACTGTGTGGGATCTGCTGCTCCAGCTGGATCCTTACAAATCTATGCGGCCTGATGGGATTCATCCCAGAATCCTCAAAGATCTGGTTGATATCACTGCAAAACCTCTCTTGACGATTTTTTAGTGGTCATGGGAATCCGGAGAGGTCCCAGCTGACTCGAAGCTGTTAACATTGTCCAGATTTTCATGAAGGGCAAGAAGAAGGATCCTGGAAATTACAAGCCTGTCTGTCTCACTTCAGTGACTGGTAAAGCTGTTCTGGGAAGTATGGAAAAGCCTGGAAGACAGTGCAGTCATTGGTCAGAGCCAGCATGGCTTCATGAGAGGAAAGTCCTGCTCATCAGACCTGATTTCCTCTTATGACAGGATATCCTCCCTCCTTGATCGAGGGATGGCGGTTGATGTAATCTTTATGGACTTCAGTAAAGCTTTTGGTATGTGTCTCACAATATCATGTTGGACAAAATGTCCAGGGCACAGCTGGATAAACACATCAGTTCAAACACAGAGAGTAATAGTGAATGGGGTAACACCAGACTGGGGACCTGTCACTAGTGGGGTTCCACAGAGCTCCATTTTGGGCCCTGTGCTCTTCAACGTCTTCATAAATGACTTTGGATGCAGGACTGGAAGGGATACTAAGCAAGTCTGAAGATGACACAAAAGTGGGAGGAGCTGTTGACTCCCTCAAAGGCAGGGAGGCCCGGTAGAGAGACCTCGACAAATTAGAGGACTGGGCAATCATGAACTGTATCCAGTTTAACAAGGGAAAGTGCCGGATTCTGCACCTGGAATGGGGCAACCCTGAATGTCCATACAGACTGGGGAATGAGATGCTGGCAAGCAGGGTTGGGGAAAGGGACCTGGGGATCCTGGTCAGTGATGAGTTGAATCTGAGTCAGCAGTGCCCTGGTAGCCAGGAGGGCCAACCATGTCCTAGGGGGCATCAGGCAAAACATCACCAGCCAGTCAAGGGAGGGGATTGTCCTGCTCTGCTCTGCACTGGGGCAGCCTCACCTTGAA